AAAAAAATGACATGAAAATAAAATGAAAATGATGCTTCAAGGTCATAAAAAAATGCATACGAAACTCACCTTGCAGTCGGTTGCAAGATGCCCTCCAATCCTGAAGATCTCCATGTGATCACGAGGTCGAAGTCGCCTTGGATGCACCAGCACTCGAGACAGTTCAAAAATTCACTAATCACTCACGACACAACCAAGAATGTTTTAACACCTCAAAATCAAAAAAGATCACTAAAATAATATCAAAAATCAAATAATATTTTTAATCATTCAAAATAAGATGAATGAGAAAAGTAATCCTTCGAATCTAATTCGCACTCTCACTTCAATCCGTATTTAAATCTCTGATAAACTGTTTAAAAAATTATTTCACATCCAAAAATCACTTGCACTGAGTCCCGCACTTTGTATTTTCAATGTTCCCAGCCGGCGCTGGTTTTCTGCACTCACTAGGAGCCCGATATTAACGAATTTTTACTACGCGACGCGCGACCGACCGTTCCACGCGCGGGTCGCGGAACGACTGACTCCCCACTGAAAATGGCAGGGCGTTGGAGCCGGCGCTCGAGTGGGGGGTCCCCCCGGCGATACTCCGCGCAAGCGCACAGAACACTTCCCATGCGCACAAAACACCCTGCATGCGCACAGAAGACCGCTCGAGTGGGGGGTCGCCAGGCGATACTCCGTGCACTTGCACGCACGCCGTGCATGCGCACAGAACTCCCTTGAGGTTCCCGGACTCATTCACTGACAGGTATCAGCTGTTTCAGTAAACAAAGGAGTATCAACCGAGATGGACGTCATAGATCAAGCAGCACAATCACCATCACCAAATCTATCACCACCGGAGGATGAAGAAACCCAAGAGAATTCGAAAAATAATTCTCTACGTGGATCCACAAGATCTCTCCGTTCCATTTCTGATTTCGAGGATGGTGAAGATAATTGGTACTACTTACCTGATCCAATCTTGCTGAGTGTCTTTCAACTCCTGACCCCAAGAGAAGTTGTAACCGCCGGTGAAGTCTGTAAATCGTGGAATCGAGTCTCACAGGATGAACTTCTGTGGAAGGAATTGTTTTATCGAACCTATAAAATCGAAACGAGTGTTGGGATCATGCCAGGTATGTCACGATTTTATAATCATATTTTTTTTGTTCCAATGAGACTGATGAAACTGGAATGATAATCCTGAGAAGTAAAAGAGTAATTAGAAATCATTACCGTCTCCTGAATTCTCACCATTTTTTTGCGACAGGTAAAACCTCGTGGCTTGGTGAATTCAAAAGATTAACCTATCACACTCCGCTCTTGGAAACGGAAGTTCTGAGAGAGCATTCACATCAGGTTCTACATGTGAGCTTCTCTCACAATGGAAAAATGTTTGCCACCTGCTCCAAGGACGGTTACGTCTTGGTATTTACAATCATAAATCGGAGCGATTAAATATCGTCGTCAATTCCATTATTTTTCTACTGTTTTTTTTATTCCCAATAGGTATGGGATAGCACATATCCAGTGAAGATCAAGTATCAGCATGATATGAAGTTATTCAGTTGGAAATATACACAATTCTCTCAATTCAATTCTTCTGATACATTATTATTAGTTTCTGGAGTTCATTTTGGGACTCTGCACAGCACTTCTGGAGAAATCGCTGTATTCAGATTGGCACGTGAGTAATTAATTAATTCAATTAATTGGATATCTCTGAATCTTAGAGAAATACTCCAATTTTTATAATCATTCTTTTTAAATTTAATTATCAACCCATTAATTACGCAATTAAATAATAAAATAAAAAAATAAAATATAAATAAAATTGTTACACTCCACCAATTTTATTCTGCTCCTCGATCACTGAAAAATCGCGCCATTAATTTTAATTGTATTTAATAAAGCAGTTGGAATGTTGAGGAGAGAAATTAAATGATGAAATTCGTCACAGTGTCTATTATTAGTGCGAATAAATCATGTGGACGAGTTCCTATTATCGAGTGCCAAGAATAATGAGACAATCCCATTTGTCATCACTGATGCGGTCTTCGAATCTGTAATTAATTCTCGAGGAACAATGAGAGAATGTATAAATTATATCAGATGTAATGATTTGTTTTAGATGGCTTTGATCTTCAATGTCGGGTCGTTAATAAGCCTTACGACATATTTGGCACTTGGTACAGTGAACGGCACTTATTGAGCGGTGATCTACATTGGCTTGCCCACCTTGTTAGCTCCAGTGTACTTTGGCTTAACAAGGCTAACCAGGAATCAGCCAGTGAACACGTACCCATTATGAATCAACTCTACCGGTAATTTTCGTATTAGCTTTTGTCATTAGATTGTGATTTATTTTGTGGAAGAAGGAGGAAGTGAACTATAACGAACTGACCATTGTTCATTGAGTCATTGAGAGGACTAATGGATTAATTTTTTATATTTTTAATTATTATTTTTTGTTTTGAAAATCCAAGGTTCTACAATTTTAACGCCGCATCAATTCGAGCTGTGATGGTAGCGAATTGTCTCTGCCCTGAGCCCACAGAAACCGAGCAACAGGAAAGCCAGCCGTCAACCTCCAACGAGAAAGAGGAACGGGGAAATCCTCTGAGTCATCGAGACATATCAGCCTCTTCCAGCAATGCCCAATCCGGTGAAGAGCCTGAAATTCTCCACCACGCATCTTCCAGACTGATGTATAGCACTTTAGAAGGTGGATTTATGAATTGGAAACGTTTGGGGGATGGTTTTGAGTATGCGAGTCCAATCAGATACAATCAAGAATACAGACAAGTGGAAATGGAGAGAGAAACGATGGACAGTGATAGTGAAATTGATAATCAGCAGTGGGAGGATGACGAAGATGTGTCGACGTCTTCGGAGACAGCAGAAGATTGTGACTCCGATGATTTGGAGGATAATCCAGAGAAATTTCTCATTTTTACCACTGGCTCGAAGACTTATACACCCCATCAGGTGGGATTCAAGAGAATGAAAGCTGTCAATTTTCCAAGGAGACTTGATCCTGGGCCTTCCCTCAGAGAACGTTTAGCCGAACGAGAAAGAGAACGAGAGAGACAAAATTCTGGCTCCTCAAGGCCCGAGCCTAATTGGCTGGATTATGACTCAGTGGCTGAAAAATTTGATAAGGTTGATCACTTGATCGATTTACATGGACATATCATAGGCATGGGATTATCACCAGATCACAGGTATAGTGAAAATTAATTTCGTCTGTAACCCCTTTCAATAATTTGCATTGTGATTTTTTTTTCGCTGAAGGTATCTCTATGTTAACACAAGACCTTGGCCGAGAGGGTATGTCATCACGAATCCTTTACAGCCTCCACCGATTGCTCAAGAAATAGATATTCACGTTATTGATCTTGTCACACTGAAACAAGTAGGCACAATGCTGAGGGCGCACAAGGCTTACACACCTAATAACGAGTGCTTCTTCATTTTTCTGGATGTTTGCGATGAATATGTCGCCAGGTATGAATTAATCGTGTACTAATTGATTAATCAAATTGTGACGAGATATTTTTTATTTTATTCACCGGTTTTTCAGTGGAGCTGAGGATAAACATGGCTATCTATGGGATAGACATTATGGCGTTTGTTTAGCTAAATTCCCTCATTCAGATGTTGTTAATGCTGTTGCATTCAATCCCAGGGATCCAGAGATGCTGGTAACTACGAGTGATGATTATGATGTTAAAGTCTGGCGAAGTCGAGCAACAGTAAAAAGTCTAGGACTCGATGAAAATGCATTCCGACGAGGAATGGAGGTACGAAAGAGACGCAAGTACCATAGCAGTAATTGCAGTGTTGACTGATTGTGTTGAATGTGTAGTTTCAGATGAAGTGTAAATAAAAAGCCAGGAATTTTTTAAATAGAGGAATCAGGTATTTCGAGGCTCTTTATTATACTCGTCACATTAAATCAAATCTGTCGAGTGATTAATGAATGATCTACATGGCTAACTATAAATACATCTTGTAAAGAACACAAAATGATTGGATTTAATTTTTTTTTTTTTCAAGTGATTTGTTTCAGTTTTTTTTATTTATGTATTTATTACGTGCTACATTGGATTTCGTTTTTTGTCACTTAAGAATAAAGCTTTGTAAATAGATATTAGTGATAAGTGATAACATTCGATTAGCACGTAAGATTTCTCTTTTTCACCCTTTTCTCAGAGATGCAGAGTTGCGTCAATAAATTTAATTACAGGAAACGTTAACAATTGATTATTTCCTCGCAGCATTTTAGCTACGCGTGATGTTAACTTTAAATAGAGCACAAAAATATATTGTTTAAGTATATTTGGGTTTAGATTTTTTCATATCATCGAGGAATTATATACTGGAGTGATAAAAGATGAATCTCAATCATATTCTCAAATTATTCTGTAAATATCTCCAGTATAACTACATTCAGAGAAAATACCAGAGATTATTTAACAGTTATTAATTTCACAGGCAGGTATCGTTTAATTGCCTCTAAATATATGAGTACTGGAAGTAATTGGACACTGAGAGGAAAATTTTTTGTCCCAGTGCAGAGGAAAATGCATGATCATGGTGAACTCACCTTTTTTAATAATTTCTTTTACAAACTATATAATAAATCATTGAAGAGTTGAGGAGAATCGATTGAATGCTCTGTCTCAGAGTGAATTTTTCTATTGAGAGTAAATGGCTTTATTAAATTACTAGATAACGTTGTTACTTTCAACCGACGATTTCCAATCGACTGGTTCCGATCTTAATGTTAGAAAATTCATCATATAAATATTTTTAAACACCATCTTATTTCCAAGTTATGACGTACAGAATTTTAATAAAATTTTAATGAATATGCTTTCCAAAAGTAAGTGAGCATTGAATTGTAAAACCTAGTGGACTTGTATTGTACACATGATAAAACTGCGAGGTTCTGCGAGATTCTGAATAAAATGATGAGAAACGTTATCAATAAATTAATGAAATGTTGGATTGTATTAATTAAAGTAGTGTAAATTTCATACAGTCCGGTGAATTAAGTCCTAGGGGGTCGACGAGGTTTCAAGTGGAACCCGTGACAATTGGTTCTGAAACAAATAGAACAGTCCATTTTACAATAATTTAAAAATTGAATCCTGCATTTAGAAATAAAAAATCACGCAGCAAATATTTTTTATCCAGATCAATCATGATATATCTAACTGCCACCTAAGAGTTCACCCATATATTAACGTTCTCTCAGTTTTGTGGATGCAATTTATTTATTTATAGAGCTATAATTTATCCGCTAAATTCGTCTTAACTTCATTATCACTTTTTTTTTAAACGTAAATTTATTAAATGAATTTCAGTTGAAGAACCCGCAAGGACGTATGTTTCGTTTTTGGGCGGAAAAACTTTTTGGTATACGACGGTATAGAATAAAAAAACAGAGAAGTAACGGAAAGAAGAGAATAAGTAAGAATGACAATACCAGGTTGCGATGATATGCTGTTGTCCATTGGTGGTGGAATTGTTTTTTTGTGGATCTCCTTGTGCCCATGACAGTGTTCACACTCGTCGTCGCTGTCCTCCGAGCTGCTCTCTCCAAAGTCCTTGGGTTTCTCGTAAATACAGCAGCCTAAACAATACAACAGAAATTAACTAAATAATTCGTTCATCAGATTTGCACTGATGAGATGAATTCTCACATTTTGATTTCTTCTTATTCATGTTCTCGTTGTCAACTGTTCCTGATGTCCACTGAACTTTTTTGCTGGATCTCGGTTTACGGAGGCATAAAGTTATTGTTGGAACTTCCTGTGAAGATAAACCGTAATGATTTTTATAACGAAAGACAAGAAAAATCAGATAACCGAATGATTTGCAAGATGTCACATTATTCTTCTGTCATAAAACAGTGAATTTATTGATAAAAATATATTCTTGTACATAAAAATATTGGAATCTACAAATGGAACATCGAGTAATTTCCTTATTGTATAATTCTCTTATCAATTTTAATTTGAATTTCTTCTTTCGAATATCCCAGAACATTTCTCAAAACTTCCTCCGTGTGTTCTCCTAATGCAGGTGGGGATGATCTGACTTCATTAGTTCCATAACTCAATTTTACAGGTGGTCCAACCACTTTGACTCTTCCCATTTTAGAATGCTCCATCTCTTTGACCAAATTAATGTCTCGGACGTGAGGATCATCGAAAACCTATAATTCAATTTCTATTTAAATATATCGCTATCACCAGCTCTGAACCCTCAACATATTTAAATAACACAAATGTCCATTAAAAAAAAAAACAGAGAAAATGAATTTTTAAGAGACATTCTCAAAAAATCACCTGTCCAATGCTGTTAATTTGTCCATAAGGAAATGGTGACCCTGCAAATACCGCAGACCACTCTTCACTCGTTTTCGTCTTGAATTCATCTCTCAAAATATTTAACAATTCCTCTCTATTTTCAACTCTTGATGTGTTATCCCTGAATTTAGGATCTGCCGCCAATTCCGACATTCCCATTCGTGTCACGAGTGAAATAAATTGAGGATCACTTCCAGTTCCAACAGTCATGAAGCCATCAGCAGTTTGAAAAGCTTCATAGGGGACAATACTCTCGTGCTCAGAGCCCCAACGTTTTGCTTCTTTCCCAGCATTCAGGTAATTAGATCCCACATTAATTAGTGTAGCAACCTGAGTGGAAAAAAGATCACACTGGATCCACTGCCCTTTTCCGGTTTGACCTCTCTGAAGAAGCGCAGCCATGATGGCCCCATGGGCGTAAAGCCCAGTAGCTAAATCTGTCATTGCAACTCCAACTTTACATGGTGCACCATTTTTAGGTCCTGTAATGTGCATTAGTCCTCCCATCGATGCAGCAATTACGTCGTAACCTGGACGATCAGAATAAGGCCCTGTATACCCATATCCAGTTAATGAGCAATAAATTATCTGGGGAGCTATTGATCTGATGTCTTCGTAACCCAGTCCCATTTTTTTCAGCTTTCCAGGCACATAATTTTCGATAAAAACGTCCGATTTTTTCGCCAACTCATGAATTATGTCTCGGCCTCTCTTCAGATCAATGCATACGCTTTTTTTATTTCTGTTGACACTGAGAAAATAAACGGAGTCGTTCGTGTTGGGGAGAAAGGGCGGGCCCCAGTGACGACTCTCATCACCTGTTCCTGGTTTTTCGATTTTTAATACTTCGGCTCCATAATCACCCAGGATCATCGTGCAATAAGGACCTGCCACGATTCGAGTCAGATCCAGAACTCGAATGCCAGCCAGTGGAGATTTATTGTTGAAGTTTTTTGAAATGCTGATGCCGCGTCTTTCGAGGATAAGAGTACATCTTGAGGTCAGCAGTTGGTGACATTTCTTGAAGTTCATTCTCAGGATGTGAACACACCTTATCACAATGATCACTCGAGAACTCACGCAATTAATTCACGTATTCACGGAGTAATGGAAATATTTTGCAAGTGCATATGTAATAAATGCGATCACATGTCATTAAATTGACAGAAAGTTAGATTTAAAAAATAGGCGGAAACGTTAATTTAATGAATGACTCCTCCATCAATTCCCGACCAAGAACTTAATTATTATCAATAAAAAATATTAAGTTCTAACGATAAACTCCAAAAGGACTGATAACAATCGTTCATCAACAGACTGAGTTTTCATCGCAGAAATAGCGGCGCGAAAGATGAGATAATTGTCAACAGGCGTTGGCAACGGAGAATGTAAAATGGGAAAGACTGGGTGAATGAATGAATTAATAAATTGTTGATAATGATCAAGAATATTTCACCTGTGGACAGTCATTGACGTCTTCCTCGAGAACTGTCTCCGTGTGCGTCTGCGAACTCGAAGGTCCTGCCATTCTTTCCATTCACAAGCCTTTCTTCAACAAATATATTCCTTTAAACTATCAATTGGAAGAGCAATAATTAATGATAATTGCACCGGCACTCTAAGCACTGGGTTTCACTGTTTTCATGTGTCTGACGTGCACTAATTTTGAGAGTGAAAACCTAACGATCTATCTCCCGTCTCTTTCCTTATTGGTTATATTCCCACAGAAGAAATCTCTAGAAGAGACTATATAGTCTCTAGCTCTAGGAATTTTCAGTTTTTTAAGCTGCTTCAATGTCATCTAGTGAAATCATCAGTCTTACCGACAGTTTAACCAACTGTCCCATTTTGTTTGAAGCAAATTTCTGATCGATTCGAAGAGGATTACAGTTTGGAATCGATTAGTGTTGTTGGTGTTGGTCGTGTTGATTGGAGTGACCGAATTTTGCAGCTGGATAAATAATTTATTTGTTTGTAGTAAAATCTATGAAGTGAGGACGATAAACGCGACATTCGCTGATTTTTCATGTTTTTTTTCAAGAATCGACGATTCGATGAATTGTTCAGAACCAACGCTCAACAATGGCAGTATGTATACTTCATTATTTTGTGGGGAAGCTCTTGAAATTTTTGTTTAATCATCTCTCGTTTTATTTTAGCTCAATCCAAGAATTCCTCTGCCCTTGGAACCCATAAGATCTAGTGCTCTAGAAGACAGGAGATTGTGGGTGGGTAATCTAGACCTGAGAATAAATGAGTGAGTACTTAATACAAAATATTTGGAACACGTATTTTCCTTCATTATTTTCTATAAATATCTCTAAAAATGCGACTTTGATTTTTTTGATTCGTCATTGTTTTCTGTATTTCGGTAGTATAAAAAATTGCATGATTATTGACTTATTTAATTAATTAATAAACATTAATAAATGATCTTGTCTGCTGGCACAACTTGGATAACGGATTGGTGAATAATTTATGTATCCTTTATTTCCAACTGGTTCCAACTTCTCAAAATCGTTCAAACATACGGCGAAATCGAAAAGTTTGATCTGCTGTTCCATCGGTCTGGACCTCAAGCTGGCCAGCCAAGGGGATATGCATTTGTTACGTATACTACAGTAGAAGCTGCTGTAAAAGCGAAGAATGCATTGAATAATGCAAAGCTTGGGTCTAAAAATGCTGTGGTACGATGGGCACACACTGTCTCCGAAGTAAATATTTATTTACAGCATGAAATCCGTTTTTTTTAAAAATCTTCATTATGAATTCTAATAATTACAGAGTGAAATGGATAAGGCAAAACCCAAGATCGATATCCCAGCACTGGCCGGAGCTAAAAAAGGAGATGCTAAAATTAGGTATGTGAAGGAGAATTCGATACAAATGATACACTAATGAGAGTTTTCTCTTGATGTGAAGATTGAAAAAGATTTTTTTCGACAGTCGAGAAACAACGATTCAAGCGATTGAAGCGAAGCTGAAAGTAATGAACGAAGTTGAAGAAGAGTTTGAATTAAATAAACCCCTGGAAGGTACTCCTATAATCCATCAGTATCAGAAGCCAGAAGTCCAAAAACCCTCGTCGTCTAGTCGTCACCATTCTTACCATCATCATCACCGACATCACCATAACCGTCCATACTCTCGAACAAGATCGAGGAGATAATACCAGTGTTCCATATTTTTTGAAGATTTTTGACGATTTTGTAAAAATATAAGAGCGATAAATAAGTTTCAGATAAATTCAGTGTACGTATTCGTCTTCGTGTGTAGAAATCATAATTATTGAAGAGATCAAGACTTGATGACCTACCCCAATAGAATATTCAATAATTGCCTAAAGAGATGTTGATGTTTGATCATTCAATGTACAATTATTTATTTAACTCAAGTGTATTTTCATAAACTCTGGAGGTATTTACTCATACCAATAATTTTTGAATGACGATAATACAAGTCTGAATTGAATTGTGACGAGTCATTACTCATTACCCACACCAGCAGAAAAAGCTTCAAATCAATTTTAAATTTCGGCACATGAACTCATTTCTCATTTGATTTTTGGGGAAATATCTGGGAATCTAAGAGAGATACCGAGATTTTCATTAGGACCTCTCTTGTGGAGTGTAATGAGAGCTAGAAAAAAGTTCCTACAAAATTCTCCCAATTCCTCTTAGATTTAAAGATATTCTCCGAAAACTCACCTATTATCAAAACCGACTTGTGATCCTTTATCTCTTGCGTACAAAAATGATTTTTAAAATTCTGGAGGGCCATTTCTATATTTTCCCCGCATGTGGTAGGGTAATGGGACTATGCTAGGACAGGGCAGCTGCCCAGGAACCTCGCAGATACAATGTTTCATGCAACCATTTCCAATATTCGCTGGATTTTGTTTCTTCTCCGCTGCAATGGCTTCCCTTTTCAAAACTTCTTGCGATTTACCAATCACCCTTATCAAATGTTCGTATATATCATCACTAGTCTGGCCATCAACATCGATCAGCATTCGTTTCCCAGTGTCTAACAATTACAAACACAAATATTAAATATTAACAATTTGACAGTTCTGTCAATAATTTTTCAGGTAATGCCTGTCAATTATCGTACCATAGAAGCATCGAATAAAAGGTGAAGGAGTCATGTTCTTGAATACATTGATCTGCACCCCTGGATTTTTGTATTGCACCTGTGGCAGTCTCCAAAACACAAATTCCCTGAATAAAAACAAATATTTCAATGATTTACGGTGTAAATTTAATAACTCGTACATTTTTTACACGCAATTACTTTGCTCCTTTATGATGTTCTCCAAAAGTATTGAAATTTATGGTCATTATTTGGATATTGTCTTTCAAAACTAATCTTCCAGCTTTTAAATAAGGTAAAGTTCGCCTAATTGGCGCTTTCCCTATCATAAACGGCATATCGCTGTCTTTTTATCACTTCACGATATTTTTTATTGATAATTCTGTTTATTATAATAGAATACACTTCTAGATATTTTTTATGGGAATAATTGAGCTTGCTTTCCTTCAGTAAAAAAAGCATGGACTGGAACAAAGAGGATTAGTAGAGGTTCAGTTCTGAGAGTTGGAGCGACCCCGGCATCGCGTGTGGTGCCCTCCATTTCTTGGGGTGCAGTACTACGATACCGCTGGGGTTACTAAAACCCCCAGAACTGAGTCTCTACTTTATTCAATCCTCTTCGGGGTACAATAACCTCAAAACAAAAAATAAAATGTTTCAGGGAAGAATAGGGGGCACTGCAGAAAAAGCAGGACCAACAAAAATCGAACATCTGGAGTATAAACAAATAATAGTATAATAAACAATGGCAAAGGGTAAACGAGGAAGAGCTAAGAAGAATCTTGGAGATAAATCGAAAGTATGTAGATGAAGTCTGTCTAAAAATATGAAACTCATAATTTCTTTGAAAAAATAGGTTACATCTGCCATGTGGATAAAACACCGCAAATGTATCTTATAAATGTTGTATTATTATTCTTTATCATAATTATATATATTTTCTTCAAGTCCTAATTATGGAATTATATCCCCAGAACAAAGAAGAATGGGATGCTCGACATCAGCGTCACTACGATGACATAGTCCGTGACAATAAGGACTTTGAGACATTCTACAAATTGCAAAAAATCGTTCCTGAGGACGAGTGGTCCGAGTTCCTCACGAAAATGAAGGAAAATTTGCCAGTGGCATTTCGAATAACAGCTGGGTCTCGAGCGGAAACAAAAGCCCTCTCCAATATAATCCAGGGTGATTTCTTCACGGAAATTCTGAATACGAAATCCGAGGGAACTCCAGAGGAAGAGCCAAAGGTCAAGCCTCACTGTTTGCCATTTTACCCTGAGGGTTTGGCCTGGCAGTTACAGCTGACGAGAAAGGATATCCGAAGGTCCGAGGCTTATTTTCGTCTCCACAATTTTTTGATTGCTGAAACTAGCAGTGGAAGCATCAGCAGACAAGAGGTCGTCAGTATGATTCCCCCTCTGGTGTTAGATGTGAGACCTGAGCATCGGGTGCTTGACATGTGTGCAGCCCCGGGTTCGAAGACAGCTCAGCTGATCGAGATGATTCACTCGGACGAGAGTCGTCCTCATCCCAAGGGATTCGTCATCGCCAATGATGTGAGCAACAACAGGTGCTACATGCTGGTGCATCAGGCGAAACGACTGAACAGTCCCAATATCCTGATAACAAATCACGACTCCTCGGTGATGCCAAATTTTAGAATAACGAATACTGATGGCTCCGAAGGGACTCTTAAATTCGATAGAATTTTGGCTGACGTTCCCTGCACCGGAGATGGCACGATGAGAAAAAATCCTGACATCTGGTGCAAGTGGAATCCAGCGAATGGTCACAATCTTCATGGAATTCAATTTAGAATAGCTAAGAGAGGACTGGAGATGTTGACTGTGGGTGGTAAGATGGTGTACTCAACGTGTTCATTGAATCCTCTGGAGAACGAGGCTGTCCTCCATCGACTGCTCTGTGAGACTGGAGACTCTGTTAAGATCATAGATGGACGGGAATTCGTTCCTGGTTTGGTCTGTAATCCTGGAGTCAGCTGGTGGGTGGGTGCATCCAAGGATATGAAGATTTATGAGACCTTCGAGGAGGTGCCTGAGCAGTGGCAGACTCTCGTGAGGCCCAAGATGTTTCCACCGAGTGCTGAAGAGGCTGGAAAATTTAATCTGGAGAAATGCATGAGGATTTTACCTCATCATCAGGACACAGGGGGCTTCTTCGTGGCTGTTCTCGAGAAGGTCAAGCCTCTGCCCTGGGAGAGGGACCAGGAGGCAAGTGAGGGAGGGAAGAGGACCGAGAGTGAAAGAACTGGTGCGCCTGAAAAAAAAAGAAGGAAAATGTTTGGATATCGAGAGGATCCTTTTGTCTTCTTCAAGGAGGACGAGGACGTCTGGGATGCCATCAAAAAATTCTACAGTATCTCTGACGATCTCGACCCCAGGTGTCTCCTGGTGAGATGCCTAAAGGGAAAGAAGAAGAATATTTACTTCACATCACCAGCAATACGGGACATTGTTCTTCTCAATGAAAATCACGTCAAGATGATCAATACTGGAGTCAAGACGTTCGTCAGGTGCGATAATAAAAATATGAAGTGCGCTTTTAGACTAGCCCAGGAGGGGATGCCCAGTATTCTTCCCTACGTGGGAGAGGATCGTAAGATTAAAGTCGGGAGGGAAGATCTCGTGGAGCTTCTGCAGAATAACAATCCCCAGATGCCACCGGAAATAGCCAAATTGAGTGACGAGGTGCAGAAGAGGACAGCAAATATAGACTCGGGCAGTTGCATTCTGATTTATGAGGAGGACAGCAAGGATAGTCCTGATCCTCTCAGGCTCGTGATGGCTGGCTGGAGAGGGACCATGTCCTTGAGAGCTTATGTACCACTTCACGATGCTATTCATTATTTACGATTGTTGGGAGCTGATTTTTCGAAATTCGGTGAGAATTCTTCCTCACAAATGTTTTGTTTGATATATTTAATAATATCTATTTTATCCTGAAAATATGGGATCAATTAAATGATATTATTAAAAATGTGATGAGCATTAAAGTACAAGAATGTTTATTTGAAATAATTTTGCTTTAATTGCACTCTGCTATTAATTTCAGAGAAGAACAAATTCAAGGAGAATCGTAACGCGAATAAAATAATTGAAGGGGATGACGACACTTCGATATCTCCATCCAACGGAGAAGAAATTACGGATGACAAAATTGCTGAAGATCCTGTGGACCCTGAAATCGCTGAAACTATGTGATTTTAGTTTTTTATTTATCTGATGGCTCGTCAGCGAGGACCAATCGTCGTGAATTTTATAAATTTTGTATTTTTCATGATAATAGGAAACTACAGTGAAATTTCCTTTTTATTTATTTCCTCTCGTTCAATATTCTATGAAGCTTGGTAATATTGCAGATAAATTTCGCCAGTTTATGGTCGGATACAGAGGTATTTCAGTTGTTTCTTGTGAGATTCCTCAATTTTTTTTATTGTTATAACCAGAATTTTAATTGCGGTCTAACTATCGTAATTTCAATTCTACCTAGAGCATTCGCACTTTCGCTCACTAAATGTCCATTCATTCTGTAATTCTCAGTGATTATCTATCATTCCTAGAGGACGGGTTGCACTATGACGTATAAATATGTAAAAACATTACACTCGGTAACAAATACGTAGACTATAAAAGAAATACGACAAAAAAATTCTCCAACAAAAAAGATCTAAAAATCGGACGATGTCGGGCTAGTAATCTCTTCCGGTTGGTGATGTCAGCTTTCCACTGAGGTTCTGAGTCTTAGATGGAGATTTTGTACCTGAAAATCAGTGAATGTTATCTTTGTGATATTGAGGATAACAGCAGGATTAGTTTTTTTTTTTCAGTCGAGAGAGAAAGGGACGATTGCATTTTTAGGAAAATTTTTACTGGAAAATTGAAAAAAAAATCCATTCAGTAGCAATTAAACTAGAGAGAGAATAAAGGCAATAGCCCATTTGTTTTACATGATTTTGTTGTTTTATTTCGAGGATTGTTCGTGCATGGATTCTCCCCCATGAGGTGCTCTCTCCATTTGTTTTGATTGACTAGAATGTAGCAGAGAGGACACCGATCGTATCCTTCAATCGGTTCTGTATTGAGAGGAGAAAATAAATTAATTAAATAACGCTTTTTCAATTTAAATTTTCAATTTGATAATGACAGAAATTACTTGTGCATTTATCATCTTTGGAATGTTCCTCGAAGGATTTCTCTAGCACCGCTAGTTTACACGTATCGCATTTAACGTAATTATTTCTCTTATCACATTCACCTGAAAGTTGAATTAATTATATTAACAAATATCCAGGGAATTCAAGGATTTTATATGTGTAATTTAAAAAATATAGAAATGACTGAAGTACTTACTCAACAAATGTGCATTGAGGTAAGAAACTTCAACAACTTGTTTGCATGATTCACATCTAGTTAACATTGGACAACTCCTCCAGTAGTGGATGTTCAGGCCTTCTTCCGAGTAGGCCTGACCCTTGGACAGACAAAAAATACAGAGTTTATCACCCTTGTGATCTCCACTGCTGTCAGAGGGTGACGTGACGCTTGTGGAATTTTCTGTGCTAATTCCCGGACTATTCTTCGGTGATTTCGATGCATTCGAGCCACTGGTGTCGATAGATTTTGATCGAGTCGGCGTTGCCGTTGTTTTCGGCACAGATTCCAACTCTTTTTTCCTCTGGAGATCAATTAAATCAAACTCATGGAATAACTGACGATATAATAAATTTCTTCTTGTAATATCATCGTCTGGTGGAAGCTGCTTTCGAACTAATCTCGGATTGACTCGGTACACCAGCACCAGGATACGCTCCGAAACTTTTCTCACAGCTTCCGCTGGGTGGTGAAGTCCGGAGGAACCGAGCTCCGATAAAGTACGACATGTCAGACCACTGCAACAATCGCAATGCCTTATCAGGAGAAATGAACACTCCACTGTGATAGATTAATTATTTTTGAGGAATTCTACATTTCTAAATTGATCAAACACACGAATTACAATTGTTTAATTAATAAAAAGTGTGAAAGTGATAAACTAGGATAAATCTAATAATAATTAATTATCTAAAATACTGATTGATCTCAAAAACTACGGGTTTCATTTATCCTTTCTGGATTCCTCAAAAATGGTAGATGATTAATTAATTCTCAATTCAATGAGTCAATGAGAATAGATACTGATAAGTTTATTATCACCTTTGCTTATCAGTGGAGATTCCATGATTGAGAATTAATTGTTCCACCATCTCCAGTCGACTCAAAGCCAATCTCTGATGAGTACTGCTGCTGACAGGTCGACTCAGATGGACTGGAATGATATGTAATTCCCTGACGCACTTGCAATCGGCCATACTCAAGATCGTGTGAACTGCCATGTTGTGAATTCTTGGAGTCGTATCGCCGGATTTTGTTAGAAGTTCGGGCAACAGACGATCAACACTTCTAGCTATTTCTGCTGATGATACCCTGTCAGTAGCGAATTCTGAGAAGAAAATTCTAATCAATTGAGCAGCGAGACTATAAACACTGAAGACCTTATCCCTGAGAGCCCTGTGGAGTAACAGAATAGCAGCTCTAGCTGTTTTATTAGCTGTGTGCTTGGAGACAAGTGGATCGAACTTCCTGAGTTCCTCCTTGAGCTGCATGAGGCCCTCCTCCTTGTCAGTAAATTGCTTCGAGTAGAATTTCTCCACCATTTCCATTCCAAAAACACCGATAGGCAGTGCAGCCTGTTTTTTCTCTCTATCATTGAGCTTTGAGTTAGTTTTCGAGTCTGTAGCATCCATGTGACACTCCCTGGTGAATTCATTAGTGTGTGAGTGCCTGAGGGCGGGAATTGTTCTCTCCTCGTACGCCTCGTAGCTAGATCTGAGAGATGGACCAGCGGATTTAGTTTTTCTCCTGAGGGATCCGGTGTTTCGGTTATTCTGGCGCTCGATGATGCCGTTGGGAGGACTGTCTGTGACTTCTGGAGTACGGGGTTTCTGATGGAGAGGAGATACTGGCGGCTGGTGGACTGGAGCTGCTGGAGAGACAGCACCCTCTCTTCCTGGGGGGACCACAAGTCTTGGAGGGGACAGAATGTCCTCGGGAATTGTGACTGAGGGCCCACAGGCATCACCAGCTGTCGCCTCCTTGCCTTCCACTGTCGATATATTGTTTTTATCCAAAGGCCCATTCAACTCCATCAAATCCTCCACTTCCAGACTCTGGTAGACCTGCTGTCTATACTGCTGGGCTTGTGCCTTCTTCGCTTTTGCCTTGTCATAATCCTCTAACGCTATCGCGTACTTTTTTTCCAATTCGTATTTACCCAGACGCTCTCCAGCCTTTCGCAGAATTTCCATCGCCACTTTCAATTTTGATGCATATTCAAATCTTTCTTCTTCAGCTGCTTGCAATTTCTTAGCCTCCATCTGCCTGATTATTTTTGCAACTTCTCTATCCACGTACATCTCGAAGGCAAGATCATCGTACGGGGACGTGTAATGGGGATTGTACGGGGCATCACCCTGATTTGAGACCTCGTGTCCACGGTACTCTCCGATTATATTCACAGCTATCAAACCCACTTGCTCCTGGACATTGTGGGAGTTCTGGTGCGGCTTGTGGAGTCTCAGTTTTATGGAGAGGGCCTCTGTCTCCGGTAGAGCGACACTCTTCAATTCTCTGCTCTTGTACAGCGTTGATTCGTTATCTGATAGCGTTATGTACCCGAGGTAGGTGAATGAGGTATTGATGGAAGCATTGTCCTCCTCTGTTGTCCATATCTCCAATTTTTCCGCTGACAAATCAATTATTGGAGATAATTACAATTAATTCAATAAGACTCACTGATAGTTCAGTAGGAATTGAGCATAAGTAGATGAATTTTTAAGATTGCTCCGATAAAATTAAATGGAAATATGAAATGATAATTATTAATATGAAAATTCGAAGTGGATATTTCCGGCAAGTCACGTTTAGCACTGACTGTTCTACTTGTCCATCCTTAATGAGAAAACTTTATGCTCGCGTGATCAGCAGAATAATTCAGTCCCAAGGTCTTTAAATAAGACCATCAGCCATCCAACTGGTGCAATTAGACAGGAAATAGAGCACACGGAGGATAACAATCTAGTGGAAAGTACGTGTTAACGAAACTAGAAAGATTATTACACTTACGAATGAGATACTGATGGGCTAGGACTTGAATTCTCGTGAGTTTAGCCGGTACCTGGAGCCTGAGAACGAGCTCCTGGGGATATCCACATTTTCTTGCACTCTGCCAACCCCTTACCGTTGGCCCGTGAATATTCAACTCCAATGACGAGTGTCTCTCCTCCTCACCTGTGAAAAATCAAGGTTAAGAGGCCGAAAATATCCCCGAATATAGTCCGTACTCACTCGTCGCGTATACAATGTTGAATCCTATTTTTCTCGGCATTGCGATGAATTAGAGACGATTGAGGGGATAAATTATCATTTTTTTTGTGTCAGAGGCACGTGTTTTTTTATGGAAAAATTGGGGAGAAGGCACCGACATCCTCGGGGGTGGACGATAGCAGGATTTTTACCCCAATATCCGTTTCAACCCCGAATGACACTGCCAACCCTCGAAGACAACCGAGAGATCACGGAAAATACGTCTGATCGCGATGAAGCTTGCGCATCTACTGCCTTGCCAACTCCAAATCGCATTGGTCTTTATATTTTGTATTTGTGGTGGATCTGCAGATACATCTCAATTTTTTAATACCCAGGAAATAAATGTTGAAAGAAAATAATATTATATTTCTGCAACCGTTATTTTTCATTTAGCGTACAATTCATTTTTTCACTTGCATGAGATAATTCGTTGGATAATAAAAATCATGTTATTGTATATTCTGTTGCATAATAATATTATTTATTATATAATAAATGGAAAATTGTTGAATCAAGATTTACGTTTTGACAGTTCTGATTATTTATACGTCGAAGTTGTTGGGAGGAAAATTAGAAGGGGAAAATAAAATCAAAAGTTTCGGTTATTCGAAGTCGTGGAGATACGACTTTGCATAGGTGATTTTTTTCTGTCACTTGTCTGCTGACGGCCATTTATTGTTGAACTATTAAACTATTTTTAGTTGCAAAGTCATTGCGAAGTCTGAAATTATTTGTTGTCCGATGTGAAGGAAACGATCTGTTCTAATTTCGAAGTCCTGAAGATATAAATAACAATTATTCTAATTCTCAATAATTTCCATAATTTATTATTTATTGATCGCATTTTATGTTGAATGAACAATAAACCAGAATCCAATTATTTATAAGAACAAATCAATAATCTAATCACAAAATTGATTGCAATATCTCGAAGTTGGAAATAGATTTTCATTAAAAATTGAGTACAACCATGGAGTTCCGAGAAATCCCACAGCCTTTCGTGACAACTGATAAATAATTGTCTATCAGTGGTGAACGATGAGGGAGTAGAATTCTGTGTCAAAATATCAACTGCAATGCTCGTTGGATCAATAACTGGAGGCTGTGTGACGTCAGCGGGGTGCGCCGGAGGGTAAAAAACGAATGAGGAAAAATCGTTACCCCAAATAGCACGTGGAAAAATGCACGTGGCATCAAAAATTAATAATCTCCCAATTAATATATGAGTCTGTAATTTATTCGGTACAAATTGCTGCATATTTATGTACAAAATTAATGGCCAGTCGAAAGATAAAATATTTCTAGGTTGTAGCGAATAGGTACAATAGGCCCTTTACAAACTGAATTATTTCTGAGCCCCCGAGCTTCGACTCTCCGTACACTCTGTCTACGAAGGAAATGGGCACTTCTCCAATTGTGTAATTAAATTGTCGTGCACGAACAATCATCTCCATTTGGAATACATAGCCCTTCGAAACGCACGATTCGATCAATTTCTGAAGAATTGATTTTTTGTAAAGTCTGAAAACACAAGGGCAGAATTGAAATTTCATTACATCGATGATTAATTGATTTATGGCATTATTTAATTATTAATTGCTTTGATATTTCGATTTTTGACAGATTTGAAAGGGATACCAAAATAATTGATAAATATGATTAATTGATAAGGACAGATCATTACGAATGAATTGATCATTTTTTTTTCTCCAATTTACCTGAAGCTTCCAGTGAGATCGCTGACCCCAGGTCTTAAAAGCACTTGCGTTATGAAATTAGCTCCTCTACTAATGAGTTTTCTCTTGAAATCCCAGCCATGAACTCCCCCATCCCCACTGTACCTTGTCCCAGTGACGATATCATAACTTCCCTGACGCTGAGTTTCGATCATTTTTGGAATGAATTGAGGCTGCGAATGACGAGATAGCAGTATTAATTACAATCATTGGGGTGACTCGAAAATTTGATTCAATAATAATATTCCAATAAAATATTACAAGTCAAAATATTATAATATAAATATATTACTTCGCGAAAATATTTTTATTATTTACGTGATGAGAGAGATCTGCATCCATAATGATGACGTAATTTCCAGTGGCATGTTTAATTCCATGAATATAAGCTGTTCCAAGTCCAAGTTTTCGTTCCCTAGGTCTCAGGATAATCCTGTCCTCTCCGTAAAGATTCTGCAATTTTTCAGCCACTTGCTGAGTGCCATCCGGTGATCCATCATCAATGATTATGATTTCAAAAGGAACTCTATAAAAAATCAAATGTTTAACCTTAAAACCGGAAAGGACACTCGTGAAGATTGACCGGAAATAATCGTAATAAAATTCTCCACTGAATTTTCGTTGAACAAAAAATATTTAGGAGTACCAAAAATTAAAAGGTAATATAGAAAATGTTTTTTGTCACTTGAGGTTAGATTTCCATACTCACACTCCATCCAAATATTTAACAATGAGCCAAACAATTATCGGTAAATTCTCAACTTCATTATAAGTCGGCAGTAAAATCGAGTATTTATCAGTGGTTTCATCATCTCCAGCAGTTTTTCCTTTCATTATTCCACTGGAGTAATTCCGAACCTCAAAAAATTAACGTTACCCTCCAGAAAGAGTGCCTGTAACCTACGACTCCAGCTGATCGAACTAGTTCACGAGAAGTCGTGGTCTGAACAGTGACACGAACACGTAAGAAGAATCCCTTGGAGTCAATTGGACTCAATTACTTCAGAGGAAATAATAAAGGGAATAAATGGGAGAATCTCCAGCAGTCGTGGAGTATCAGCTGTTAGCAAGGGGTAGGGGATAATTCCGAGAGAGAAAATGGTGATGTGTTTTTTCACGTGTCAGACAGGGACGACTGCCATGTCCTGTTTTTGATGGTGAATTGTGAAAAATGTGGTGAGTGAAAAGTGATAATGTGTTTTAAATTCATTAACTCTGGATTGAGTCTTTGGATTAAAGGAGAATCACAGGGATTAGGTCATCTGGAGGGGCTGGAGGTGAGTAGGAAGATGGAGAATTTTATTTATTTTATTCACCTGAACTGGGAATGGTGGAGGGGTCATACCCGTTAACCCCACCTGTTCCCCCATCAAAACATTTGGAATGCAATTGAATTAACTACCAACAAGTCGATTGAACGGGTATTAGGTGGTGGTTTTCGGATTTTATTCAGGGATGGGGAAGACTACGAAAGTTGTGGTGTGCGGGATGAAGGGCGTGGGGAAGACAGCTCTCCTGGAGCAGCTGATTTATGGAAATGTCACGTTGAAAACTGTGAGTTTCAGAAGTATTGACTAGGTTATGGTGGTGGTATTTAATTATCGAAGGGAGAAACCAGTGTCGAGAATCTGGTGACATATTCTGTCAAATTCTCATTCGAAATTTCAGATTTTCAACAATTTCACATGATTTTTACGCAGAAATAAGCAAGGGTGGGGTTGATGGAGTCTCCAGTTCTGTTCTGATCTGTCAAGGGTCCATTTTCCTCTGGAGTAGATTTAAAAATTCTTTTGAGTGTCTAGCTGACAGATCTGTGAATTTTTTAATGAATATTTGAATACATTGAAGAAATTATTCGAATATTCAAAAAAATTGTTCATTCTTGAAAAATCTGAGAAGTCTTCAAATATTCTTGTATTTCTAAAAATTGTAACAAAATTTTCTGAAATTAATTTATTTATACGAAATATCATATTCCACAATTAGCTAAAGCCTGAAATATACAATATTTTTAAAGAACTACGACGATCCTAAATATAAACAAATAATTGAAATAAAAATAATATTTAAAATAATGTCAATCAGTCGATGGATAAATTGAATAATTAACTCTGTTCTCATTTGGGGTAAAAATCAGGAGATTCACCCAACAATCGAGGACATCTACGTAGCAAACATAGAGACAGATCGTGGAACCAAAGAGAAGGTGAGATTTTACGACACAGCTGGTCTGGATGGACACCATGCCAACACAAATGCCCAACAACTGGCACGACATTACCTAGGTTTTGCCGATGGTTACGTCCTCGTCTACGACACTGCCAAACCCGAGTCACTAGACGTATTATTTCCATTGAAAAAAGATATCGATAAGAACAAAGATAAGAAGGAGATTGCAGTTGTTGTTGTTGGCAATAGAACTAAATTCGATAATGATACCCAGAGTCTTGAGAATACTGCGGGAAGAGCTGTCAATTGGTGTACCAGAGAAAAAATCAGGCACTTTGAGGTGAATGTTATGGATAGGCACAGCCTATATGAGGCATTTATCTATTTGTCCTCGAAGCTCAATCCCATTCAGAATAAGAGCAGTTTTCCTCAATTGAGTATGGGAAGGAAAAATGTTAAGGCTGATGCCACATGATTGATGCTTAAGGCGGATTGTGTCAGGCAATTCTTGGGGAAAATATTTCGAGGTCTGTGCTGTGATGTGGAGAGGAGCGAGGAGACGGAGATTTTTGAGGTCTGATGACTTCTTTTTTAGTATTCCTGTGAATCTCGAGATCGTAAATTAAATGGAATTTATGATCTCCTCTTTTTTATTTTTTTTTCAGGGAATTTTTTAAGTAGTTTACAAGGCTTTGGGTAGTGATACTGATGGATTGAGATCTGGTGCTTAATATTTAGTGGATTGATTTTTTTTTATTGGTCGAGGGGAAGATTTTTTTCCATTTCTTAGACTTTCCTTCGGAGGTGTTGAGTAAAACAATTTTTAATAAAACTATTGAATTAAATTTCCCCTCTTGCTCAAAATATGCATTTCTCCACATCATAATAGCTGACTGAATCTCACTCCTGTTCTCTAAAAACCGTTTGTCAAAATGTCTCGATATGTAAATATTGTTGAAATATTTGTAAGCATTAGAAAGGCAAGATCTGAATTTTTGCGATAGAGAAATGAGAATTTCGGTGAAAATCCAAATTGTACTTAAGTAATAGCAAAATTTTCTTGAACCTCATGTCACAACGAACAATATCAGTACAAATTGCGTATTTTTTATGTCGAAAGTAAAGAGTTATTTCTATTCGTTGTATTTTATCTCGAATGCAATGTTATAATTCCACGAACTGATCTAATCTCGTTCCTTTTAACGTACTTAAATTAGTCACTAAGAGTCGAAGTTATCTATACGCGAATGAAGAATGATTGTAAATCGATGTGAATTCGCTGTCAGGATCCTCGATGACATGGAATTGACTAATATTTTTTGTAAAGTAATATTAAAGGCATTATCATTAAATATTCCATTCAATAAATAAATTGTAGTCTCGGCTTATTTCGTGAAAATTAATTTTTTTATTGTAAAAAACGATTCGGCAGAGATTAATTTATCTACCAGATAATGGCCTTTTTCAATTGCCTTAGTACTATTAACGATCCGAAGATATAATCCCAGAGTTTGCTGCTTATACCGAAACCTGAGAATATAAATTGAAAAATTAAAATAATTTCAATTGCACGGAGAGAAAAATTGGGGAAAAATCGAATTCTCCTTGAGCAATGTTTTTTAAATAAATTCTATTGATTATTCAAGAGTAAAATTGGCAGAATAAATTTTGAGTTTTGTTTGAATTTTCTTGAGATTTTCCACTAGATTTTGGTTTCAAGTGGAAAAAACGTGGAAAATTCACGAAAATTTGTAAAGAAAATCCTGGCTCACATAAAAATACATCTATCGATAATTTTTCCTCATTTTTCTCACCGTTCGGATAAGATAACGTATCAACCAAGGGGCGTGTAATACAAGAAATCAAAAATAAATCCCGGAAATCATGAAAATTGGAAAATTTCTTTAAAATTTGAAAATCGCTAAAATAAATAATTCTGAAAATGATGGAATGATTTTGAATATTAATTCCATTAGCAGTTTACTGTGTCATTGAAAATAGCAATTACAGAGCCCTTGGTATCGCATTTTTAATTGATGATGTCACGTCACCTTCATCGTGATGCGAGAAGTGGTGGTAATTGTGGTATCTCTTCATGGTGTATAAATACGTGTCTGCGTTGGGCGCCCCATGATGTAAATAATAATGCATTAAATCGTAACATAGGTATCCTGTAATTATTCTTCATTGAGTAAACCAAAACGAGTCTTTAAAAATTTCAAAAGAATCACTTCAGTACCTGTCATGGTTCCCGAGGCCACAATATTCAACATAAATACTGGAAAAATCATCTCATATAAATTGTACAATATAAAAGCTAGGAAAATAGCTGGCAACGGAGGAAACACTAATCTCCTATCATCGAAAGGTGCCTGAAATAAAAATAGATTGCAGACGTCTAATCTCCGAAGAATTTTCTTTTATTTGTTCGGTTTTTTTTTCCAAGAATTATCTTTTCGGTAAATTTCACCTTGTGATGAAGGCCATGAAGCAGGAAGTGAAGAGATATGAGTATTTTAGAATCAGGTGGAGGCTTCATGTGGAATAATTTTCGATGTAACGTGTACTCTAGGAATGTCCACAACAAAAAGCCCCAGGAAAATGCCAGGAGAATTTTACAGATTGAACTCACTGGAAGTTAAATCGATTAATTTGGCATCGTCGAGGTTTACCTGAGAGGATAGGTCAGTTTAAAAATTGGTCAAATACCAGTTGGACTGGAAATCTCGATGGACACACCGAGGCAGAGGAAATATATACAAATTGGTATCCACACCAGTGGCACTAGGTACCAGGGGGTCACTGTCAGCATCTCCAGGATGTTCGATTTGAATAGTCTAATTGGTCGATTCACTGGAAGATTCACCCACTCCCAGTATCGATCTTTTAGTGATGCCACTTGACTCAGGAGAGGTGCATTCCAATTGATTAAATTCTGGTGAATAATTATTTGTGGTCATTTGATGATTTAAAAAAAAAATTGAATTCATAAACTAGTACAGTCTTGCCTTTCCCCATTTTTCAGAATTTATTATTTGGATTTGAGAGAATAAATTTCCTGTGAAAATTATCGGCGGTTCGAATTTTTAATAGAAAAATTAAAAATCCAGGGAAGATACAAAATTCATCGAATATTTTTTCATCTGAGATAATTATCCAGCCTTTTGTAACAATATTTTCCCAGTGGAGTCATTTCCCGGGAATTCTCATTAGATTTCAATTACGACAATTATATTGCTCAAACCCATGATCACATTAATGATGACCTTGAGTGATCTGATAACAATTACCTAATTATGAAAAGAAGAGAATTATGGTAATTCTCCTCTTAACAAAATACAAAGTTCAGGAAAAAGTAATAATGACGGATCAGGAAAAGTAATTATGACAATTGTCATAACGGAATTCTAAGGATCGAATTAAAATTATACTCAATGAAAAAATTCAATTTAATTTTTTCTACAGATCGGTTGGGAACATTAAATCCAATAAATAATGAAAAATGGGGAAATATCATGGATTCTCTAATAAAAAATTGCTGGATTGTTTAAAATAAATTCTCAGTCTCACCTCGATATCTTCATAAGCTGTTTTATTACTCAGTTGAAAATCCTGGAATAGATGAAAAGCAGCTGGTGAATGAGGCACACGATCCAGGGCCCTATCCAAAGATAATCCCCTGAAGGCATTGAGTACCTGTCGTCCTCCGGGATGATGTTTCAAAAATCCACTGATTTCATATCGCCTCCCCCGATAATTAACATGAAACTCATTATCCCCCTCATCACTGGAAAAGTCCTTCATTGGCGTTTTCAATATAGTTTGTAACTCCACCTCAGTTGCCATTGCACAATCGCTGATTTTTTTAAAAGTATAATAGATAATAAAAAAAATGGCAGATAAAGATTTATCAATCGGTGATTCACGTAGATTTTTCTCGACACCATCGTCACTTTTTCACCCTCAGCCTGATGGATAGCCCTCGTATATCTGATAAAAAAAAATGTTTGTGCGGTTGATGAAGAAAATTATTTAGAATAATTTTTTAGTCTCGTTGAATAGTCGAGGATTAATTCGGTATTCACCGAGTCAGGTCTGAGAACTGTCTGGTGAACCGAGCTGATCATTTCATAGATGCAAATGTGACGTAATGATTGTGATTAATTTTAGCAGTGGGCACGTGCCCTCAAGACCTCGAAAATCAAGGAAATCAGGGACTCTCTGGCTCATTTACGTCAAATACCGGCACGTAACAGCTATAATAACAAAACCAAATTAAATCCGCGATAACGAGTATTTCGCGGGGATCAATTGATCGGGTATTTTTTTGTGTTCAATCGAGGCCAGGAGGTTCCCGCCTTTTAGGTTGCTATTTTCAGTGATCCGTCAGATCAGTTGCTTCTGATGGATCTGTTAATGCATTATTGGCGGCTGAATTTTCTTTTTTTTTTTTACTGAATTTTGCCAACAGCTGCTTGACGCTCTTTTATGTTGGGAATTTGAATACAATTGGAGATCAAATGGTTCATGGACTTTTATATTCAGCATCGCGGAGAACAATTTGTTGAGGAATTTTTCATCGCGGTGCTTTTAGTCATTGCGGCAATCTCTTGGGTATTACGATTTTTTACCATTTTTTTTGGGGGGAAAATTGACGGTTTTACTGCTGTGTTGGAGTTTCGGAGGAAATTCCGTTCGTGTGATAACTCAACTCAATTTAGGTCTCGTGTCGTGTGATCACTCGTGTTTTAGTGACGGAATAAACTCAGAATTTGTTCTGGAAATTTAATAACGTGTGCAGGAAATTATTTATGAATTGATCGGAAAACGAATTGCTCGCAAAAAAATTGAAATTCAATTGGTCTTGAAAAATTAATTTCCCAGTTTCCGGAATGGGTGAACATTGTCATGAAAAATCTGGTGATAAATCGAATTAACATGCAACAAATGTCGATTAGTCTCTAGAGAAAAAAAAATTTTATAACGGTGTAATAAAATTTCGCGTGAAACGTTAGGATCAATTTAACTGCAATTTTTTTTCGCGTGCATATGGTGATAAAAATAATTCAAAGTAGAGAAAAAAGAGAAAACTCCGGTCATGATTTACCAGAATTATTAAACTATTGAGAATTCAATAGAATTTTAAATTCACTAGGTTTTTCAATTTTTCCAATTTCGAGGAAAGAATGAATTAACAACCGGTGTTGCTCCCAAGAATTATTGATAAAATCTAAAAAAAGCAGTCGTAATTTTTCTTTAAAAACATTGAATTTTCCTCCATAAAAAATTCACAACTACCTATAACTCAGTCCTATTAAACCGAATCATATCATCAAACAGATAACTTTAATAGATAAGCAACAACTATTTCAAAAATCGCATAATGACACTGCGATAACCAGAAAAAAATAAAATAACGCGAGACATTTAGAGACTAGAATTTACATACCACATCAGGTTGCTCCATGATTTATAATCCTTAATTCCGAGATTTGAAAACTAGAGCAGAGGAATAAAGTCCGAAGGCGTATCTACGCAGCGCCAAGTTGCGAGCACGACTGACAAGTATACTTTATTTGGATACCCCTACGCTTTATTATCTTCTCTGTCAATTAGAGACGGTTATCACACGTGTTCCCCTTTTTTTTTCTCTATATCTCTAGTCAAAGTGTCGTCGATGTACGTCCAGTCGACGACGTGTCGCACATTAAAGTAAAGACATAGTACTATTTTCTAGTGTGGCCAGGCAATCCATGTTTATCGCAGATAGCGTGGACATGTCGGATATCGATTCGCTGATTTTTATCATTTTCATTCCCCGCTTTTTCCTGGAATTGTGTGATCTCCTTGCAATTCTCATGGATTTTTGAGTATTAATTCTCTCAAATTTTTGGAAATTTATCTGTATCACAGACATTTTTACTAGGGTGTCACTCACACAGCGAGGGAAACAATAAAATTATATGAAAATTCATTGAAATTCATTCAAAATTATCACTTTTAAGACTTTTAGGGGAATACGAAGTTTATATTTTTCTATGAATTCTTTTATCTTTTATCAGTTTCTCCGAATGGATCATTTGAAATTCCAGAATATTTGTGATTTTCAGAATTGAATTCAACGGGAACATAATTTTTCACTGTTAGATAATTTTTACTGAGATTTTCTGGAAAAAAATGCGGAATTGCCATAACGTTACACGATTACTATCTGTTCAAGTAATTTTTAAAATGAATACCTCTCTGTGCGCATAATGTCGAACGTGCTTGTGAATAAATGACATATTTTTTATAATTTTCCGAGGTGTTTGAGTTTCCAATGAACAAGGAAAAGCCCAAGAGGCCATAAATGACGTGGGACAATGAGTAATTGAGTTCTCGGTAATAAATAAGCTTTATTCAAATATATCGTATTTCAGTGTACAATAGCTTCATGACTTTATTTATTAGCTACTTGGCAATTTGGTTTTTCCATATTTTTAGACACCTTGGGCTTCTTGGGGGTACGGATACATAAAGTGTATCGCAATGGCTTTAAACAAGTGCAGGAAAATAATTGATAAATTCATGGAAAATTGTTCGTAGCAATGAGACATTGAAAATCTATTGCACCCGCTGCAAAGTACTCAGTGGGATTTATAAATATTTGCGGATTTCAAGGAATTCTCGAAATTATCACACACTCCTATCGGAAGAATTTATAGACTCGTAAACGCACCGTAAAATAATGATGGACTGACACTATTCAGGAGCAAGACAAATGCACATTATTTTTATCGTAAAAAATTAGATATGAAATAAAAATTAATTCAGTAGCGAACAGGATTACTCTGAAAAATTATTTATTATATCAGGATATTTTTTTAAACATGATATTATTATTTTTGAGATTAATTCAAAATTAAACGAGAAATGCCGATAGAATTTTTTATATATTTCTTTATTATTTTTATTGACTTATAGAATTTTAACATTTCGTTACTGAATTTATCGGTTTGGATTTTTGTTCGGCCCAGTCATGAAATATTTAATCCTCAGTTATTGAATTCAAGAGAATGTGCAGTGAAATCGACACTTGAATTTTTTCGATGAATTTATTATTTATTTATTCTCTCAACTTCACTTATCGCCTTCAACTATTCGATCGTCGAATTATGTACATAGGTACAAGTATCCCAGAATGATCAATGACCAATCGATATCTCAGAAGTGGAAGTTACGCGATAAAAATAATTTCACCTGTTAAGTAACTGACAATTAACATCAGATAACGAATTTAATGAATACTGCGAAGTCAGATATGGAACACTCTGATGCTCTGTAAATTAATTATTGATAAGAGAGAGAATAGCATTAAGGAATTGACCTTGAGCTTCTCTAAAAAAAAAAAAATGGGATAATTTCGACGAATGTTCTTGCAAAAAGTATAAATTTTCGTAACACAGTCCAACTATTAAAAAAAATTCTTCCAACTTATCGATTACATTTTCCTCTGCTTTGTACGTCTTCGTAATCACACTTTATCATAAAATACCATATTTACATTTTCCTCCTCAGGTAAGAACAAATATGAAGAAGAAGTGAATGACATAAAATTCTGTAGTAAAATATCGGAGTCGATGTAGTCAATTAATCGAAGTTTTCGTGTGATATCTCGGAATCCAGAAGAGATACCGAATTTTTTGTAACCACCATTTTTACAGTTCTCAGGGTAATCCATAAAAAAGGTAACAACCAAAATTTCGATAGCTCGCTTGCTTCCAGAGATATTTCCAAAAAAAAAAACTGTTTACACTGTCACTTCACTACTGATTTGATCTCAGAACTGAATATTGAGTCTGAATTCTCTAGTCTGAAATTCTGTGACGCAATAAAACCCCTCGTCAGTTTATTTTGGCAGTTTAATTCCCAGATTAACAGTTAAACCATCGCCTGACAATTATTTCATTTAATTTGCACGAAAATATCACGTTTTTCTGTACAAATACCTCCCACATTATTACAGATTTACATTCCTGCCGAGTTCAGTAATCCATTCGTCTCATTTTCAATCCTTTCCCCTGATGCTCCTTGGAGGCGATGACTTTAAAATTTTGGGTTGGCAGGGTGTTATCGTCGTCGCTGTTGCCCTCTTCCTCCTCGGGGAAGTCCTCCAGTCTGTCCTGATACTCGTCGATCTGAAAATTACCAACGAGTCAAGATCAATCTCTCGGCATTTCTCAATCCCACAAACGAACATTAACTGAATTAAACTGTTAGTTCGTTAAACATTGTCGCCATTCCAGCACTTGATTGATGAATGAAAGCTGAAAATTAATGAAATGGATTATTCGGAAGAAGTTTAACAGAATCAATGAGACTGTTAAAAAAATTTAATTTGAAAGAAGTAACTAGTAATTATCTCAAAGTAAATGCATCCAGATCATGCGGAGAGCGGGCAATGCTGTCAGGGTGATAATGACTCGAGCTAATTGATTCCACCGATGAAGTGATTCATTCTCATTCGTGATTGGATGATCGAGTCGATGGAGTTCATGATAAATCTATTGAACTGCTGCATTAACAGAAAATAACTCTCTGGAAAACTCACGTAGGGACTACCAGGGTAACTCTTACTGATGACGACGAGGGTCTTACCTGGGGCTCGTCTCTGTTGGCTTACATCCAACCTTGCACCCCATTATCCATCTTAAAAATTTAATTATGTCAAATGGGGGGAGGTAAGACGAAATATCCACAGAAGGGTGAAGAATCAAAATCGCGAGTTGATTTTATTTTCATCTCCATAGACATAAATAAATTATGATGACTCGTCCATTGCACTCATTTATATTCAAATGAATTCCAATATTTGAGAAATCAAAAATTATTTTATTTTATCAAATAAAAAACAGGTTGTTCCGGGAATATTCATTTTAAATATTCTGTTCACATAAAAATTCTCCAGATTTCGTATTTTTCTTCGCAAAATTTTTGGAGCTAGTGCTGAATCCTGAATTTTTTTATTTCAATTCCCAATAATCAATTACGTGAGATGTCTATTATGAATATTGAATGGTTTCATTAGATAGTTTAGTGGAAAAACTAGTAATAAATACTCACATCAACATCGCCCATCATTTCCTTAGTGGAAACAGTGGTCTCGATTCGGCGTATGCTGCCCTGATGAATATTGACATCGAGTTTGAGGCACTGGAATCTTCGAAGAAGGAAAACCGTGGGTATTGGAGCCAGGCCAATTAAGATAATGACGATAGCAATGGCCATCACCCAATCGGGATAGAATAAAGACTCGGTTGCGCCCTGGGGATTAATCAGGAGATTCTCAAGTAAATAATTACAAATAATTTCAAAAAATCGATGGAAAACAAAATGTCTGCATTGACATTTTCACTCTCCTGGACTTGAATGAAAAATGAATGCATTAAAAAATGAATTACTATAATTACTATAATTACAATGATGTGAATTAAATTAATTAATTAACGAAATTGAGGAATTAATTGTGGAATGATTTTAATGAAATGAGAGTCACCTCTGAGGCGACCCAAGCCGGATACTGCGGTCGATTCATTATCATGGAGCACATGCTGGAGAGGAGAATGCAGATCATGATGAGAGGTGCGAGGAATCGCCAGGTGATCTGCCAGTACCATCCGGGTCTGTATCCAGTCATGTCCTCGATATCCTGCGTGAATTTTTCGTGTCCATAAACGAAGACGACGGCGATCATCTCGAGGAAGGCGACGACGACGAGACCAATCGTGCTGGCGAAGCTGTCGAATAGCTTAAGCCAGTATTCACCAGCTCCGGTGCAGAATATCAGACCGACGAGGAAGCATGTGGCACAGACACAGCCGGTTATGTATGGTTTTCTTATTCGCTTGAAGATATCGATGTCGAATATCACGCAGAGCATACCCTCGAGGAGGCCAATCTGGGAGCCAATACCGAGGGCCAGCAGCATCAGGAAGAAGATGCAGGACCAGAATGGAGCACCTGGAAGCTCAACTATCGCCTGGGTGAAGACGACGAAGGCTAGCCCTGTCCCTTCGGCAGCCTGAGATTTATACAATGATTTTTCGTCTATTACAATTATATCGAACCTGATAATAATGAGTGAATAATTTATTTTCAGGAATTTATAGCATTTATATTTTTCGGGGAATTTTTAATATTTTTTTTTAGATGAATTGGAGTGAATTTACGGTTTTAATTGATTTTGTAATTAAATTGTGACGGTCTCGGTGGAAAATGCTTGGGAATTTTACGTATGATGCTTTCAGAATTTTATTGACTTTTCGTATAAGTTTTGTTCGTCAGGACTTCTAAGTACATCAGTCAGCAATTAGCGTTATCGTAATTTCAGAGTTGACTTACAGTATTTAATTCATCATCGAGGCTGCACGAACTCAGAGAGAAGTTCGCCCCAACAGCAGTTGCATTGAACATCGTCCTCGCCTGTTCAAACTGTTCATTAGTGGAATTGCTACCGAGAAACCCTGAACTCACCAGCAACTTTCTCGACCTGAAGTGAAAAATAAATTTTGAAGTACAAAAAAAAAATAGCGCCAGTCATTTCCTCCAGCGACTCGAGTGAAACAAAATTATTTATTGATCAAACATGGAGCGTGAGAATATCTTGGAAGGTCGTCTCCAGGGATCGACGTGACGCATTATAAATTATCCTTTCCTATGAGCTGAAAACAAAAATAATTGCATCACGAGAATGAAACTCACAGCTCGAGACAGTCGTCGACGTTACTGACGGCTTTGAACCCCAGGATGGCGAAGACAACTGCACTGGCGAATATCGCGGTAAATGCATTGCAGAAAGTCACGAGGATAACGTCCCTCACGCAATTGTTGTCGGGACTGTTGTAACTGCCGAAGGCGATGAGAGACCCGAAGGCAAGACCAAAACTGTAGAAGACTTGAGTCGCTGCATCCAGCCACACCGTCGGCTCCAGCAATTTCTCCAGCTGCGATTAAAACAATTAAAATCCAATCCTGAGGATTTATTTTTCAAAAATTTACCCGACGGAATTGATGGCAGAGAAAAATCATTTCAAAGTGAATTACGATTTATTACTCATGAATTACGAGACAATGTGGATTACAATTTAAAAATTGTCTTCTGCGTTTATAATCTTATAATTTCGTAACTTAATGAATTATTAATTCATTGTAATTTATTAATTTTTGAGAGAATTGTGGAATCGATGGGTTTAGCACTCGAATACGGGATCAGTTAATCAGATAATTAAATAATAAATGAGAGTGTACCTTCGGGGTGTACATGTGAGCGAGTCCTTCACTCGCTCCTTTAAGAGTCACTCCTCTGATGAAGAAAATAGTGAGAACTATGTACGGGAAGAGAGATGTGAAATAAATGACCTGGAATGAGATTCAAGGAAAAATAAATATCTGATTGATTGATTTGTCATTTTTTGTGATGACTCTCCCCACCTTTCCTGAGGATTGGATTCCCTTCATCATGATGAAAAATACAATTGTCCAACTGAGCAACAAACACAGCACAATCCACCACTTCAGACCTTCGGGTTCTGCTATACTTGGAGATGCATCTAGAGTTGTTCTGTACCAGAAATACGCTGTGGATGAGCTCTTCACGCACTCTTCAACTTCAACCCCATCAATCATCGGACACTTTGCCCACGCCAACGTGTCCTAAAAAAAATTATTTATTGCATGAATTTCAGATAATCCGGGATTTTTATTCATAATTTTCTTTTTTAATAAATTAATGGTGAAATTTACGGTACATCAACGCCAAATGTTGAATGGAGAATTAATTTTTTTAATGAAAAACTACAACAATTGGGATTTTTACTATTTTTTTATTCGTTGCTTCATAAATTTTTTATGAAAATGAAAAAATTCAGGGGTTCAGCTGAATTTTCGGTTTTTTCATCAATTCAGGTTTTTACAGTAATTCAATTTCAATTAAATAAATTAAACAATTCTGCAAATTCGAGTTTCATTTATATTTAATGATTTATTATTTTGAATGATTTCCACTCTCGCGGGAAAAAAAATCCGCGGCGAGATGAATTTTGCAATTATCGATTGAAGATTATTATTACTCTGTCCACATCATGTAGACTCGATATTTAATTATCTCATTTGTTGATTCAATTGCGTTGGAAAAATCTGAGGCATAAATACACAAACAATAAACATGTAGAGAAATATCGTAATAATTGAAGATTCAAGGACGTAATTACGCGAATTGTGACTGAAGGATAATAGAGTACATCTATAAAAGTATCGACTCAATAAGGGAATATCAAAGTAATCAAAGTAATCAAACAGATCATAAATTACTCGGTTTGGTCAGTCAACAAGCCGTAGGTTTACCTGAGAAAAATATCCGGTATCTCGGGAATCGCGATACCAGAGTGTCTAGAAAATTCTACCACATTCGAAAAATTCCTGATTATTCATAAAAAATATTCCCACTCACTTGCATCTGGACGGTAGGTCCAGAGAACGTCTTCACCACGGCCTTTTCCCAGGAGAAGATGTAAAAAAATATTCACAAATTAGTTTTATCTCGAATCGAAATCTTTCGATGGTATTCATCTCTGAGAATTCGATAGGTGAATCAGAAAATGAATTCGCACACTCTTGCCAATTTCATTCACGATTAACTTACGGATATCGAGTTGAAGAGGTAGTAGAAGCACCACGTGATGATGATGTTGTAGTAGAGAACCACAAAGAAGGTCACGATGCAGGAAGCTATGCCGATACCTCCGAGCCATGGATGGATATTATTCCAAACTCCTAGTGCACCCACTTTCATCCTCTGGCCAATTCCCAATTCGATGAGGAACAGGGGAACCCCCTCGAGGATGAGCATGATGAAGAATGGTATTAAAAATGCTCCTGCAATTAAATAATCAATTACTCATTAATATTTTCAACATCAATCTAAAAAAAATCCGTGGAATTCGATATTAAATTTCTTGTAATCAATTTTATCGATGGGACTTCATTAAATTTTTAATGATTCATCATTTTTTTTTAGATCCCATCCGATATGACTCTTTCTTTAGGCAGAAATATTTTGAAAAAACTCTGTAACTAAAATGGAACGGAGAAAAATCCGTTAACGCACATTTTTACTTCAAAGGCTTTCAGCAGTTGAATGGAATGAATTGAATAGCATCAACCCCGGAGAATACCAGGATGTCTAAGAACCTAGGAGAACAATTCCCTCGCACAATAGTCTCTCTTTCAATTCCCAAAACCCCTTGAAGATGAATCAAAAATTCCGTTGGACTTTCTGAATAAAAAAGGCAGACATTTCTCTTGAATGATAGGAATATCAGGGAATAAAGCGTGGAACGTGCTCATCCTCCAGAAAAAATAATCTTGACACTCAGCAAGTGGAAAATTTGCGATTGACGTCTGTGAGATTTATTACATATTTAAAAATAATTCCGGTGAAGTTCAATGACGAGAACTGAGAGCCAGTGGCAATTAGTTTAAGAAAAAATTTATTGAACTCGTTCTGATTTTTTGCGACGAAAAATGTTAGAGTAAATATTGCAAATATTGAAATTAATTTGTTATTAATTATGTGCAGAATCGTTTTGTTGAGCTGTGATGACCTGTTGATTGGGTAGTGGAATGAATTTTTTTATTTATTTTCATATGGTTATCTCGGATGCTGCGAGCAAGACAGAGTGTCTCGTATTGATCCGGGGTTGGCCGAGTGCAACCCCTAGACAACTTCTCATCCACACGCACACGAATACGTCCCAAATACCTCACAGGACTGAATTCACCCCA